CGCTTCAGCATTACATTAAACCAAGTCAGGATGACTGGGACTAGAAATTACCCCTCGTCGCCGGCCTGTACAATAGTGCCATGCACAGCACTACTAGCACGACTCCCAACCAACTACATCTTCGTTGGAAGACCCGATCTGCATTAGACTTCCTGTTACATGAACAGCAGTCGACTGCATCACCGGGCAACATAGAATTTGCTGTCAAATACGGACAGCTGTTGCAGCAGGCTGTAGATCACATCAAGAAAGCTCAAGATGCCATGATCGCATGCGAGAATAGACAAAGACGGCTGTCTGAGTTTCAGGTAGGAGAACGAGTCTAGGTGAAGTCATCTGAGTTGGGGCAGGAATTAGGACTCACGTAAACTGATGCCACAGTACTTTAGCCCCTGGGAAGTACTTGATATAGTGGGAGATCAACCAGATGGGCCATCATACGTCATTCGCATCCCTGGACACCTACGTACATACCCTGTCTTCCATGCATCATAGTTGGCACCTTTCTCTGTCACTGATAAATTTCCCACCAGGAGATCGATGCTGCCCCCAACCATGGACGGACGTGGGCATTGACAACATCGTTGAACACAACTTGATGCCTGTGCCCAAGCCTCCAGGCAGAGGACGTCCCCCGAAGCCACAGATGCAGTACCGGGTGCATTTCAGACACCACACTGATCCTCAAGAAGATCAGAGGTTCACAAGAGAAGAGTTAATGAAGACTGCTCCCCAAATTATCTCAAGTTATGAAACGAATTTGAAAGGGAAGCAGCCTGCTACGTAACGACTTCTCAGAGGACTATCGAAGTAAAGGAGGAGGGAGGGTGAGGGTTTGGCCTCTCGGCATATGGCCCTGCAACAGGCATGTGCCCGCCCTAAGTAAAGGCGGGCCCTTGGACTCGTCAAAATCTTGGTCAGCGTCAGACAATTGCCACGCGCCAGTTGGTTACATCCGCCCTGCACGTGAGAATGGGAAAGATTTGTGAGCCTTCCAGGCCATTCTAGCAACGTGGGGTAAGCAGGGAACATCGCGCGAATGTGCCCGGGTGGTTGGACATGCCTAACCAAATCGGTCCCAGGCCAATGTCTGAACGGGCCTGGGCGCAGACACCTTGGCGGAGACTGAAGCTACTGGGCACTCGGTCTCACGTGGTCGTCGCAAGGCAAAACGCCCGCAACTTTCCATATAGGAAAGGGCAGGGCACCAGGGCAGACATTAGGGCACTTGCAAGTTGCAGGCGCAGCGCTGCTGGAACGATTGCTCGCGGGCTGCTAGCTGCACAAGTGCAAGCGCGTGTGCGCATGCGGACATGCCGGGTGAAGGGTGCTGCTGAGGGCAGCACCATAGCCAGCCCCGCGTGGCCAGGGCTCGGCTTGGTCATAGCCAGTGGAGGTGGTGGTGGTCTTCGTATATAAGAAAGGTGTGGGTAGAGAAGAAGAGAGAGAGAGAGAGAGAGAGAGAGAGAGAGAGAGAGAGAGAGAGAGAGAGAGAGAGATGAGGATGATGATGTGAGGGCACATACCTGGTCTTGGCGATTGTCTACAAAGGCCAACATCTTTATGTACTTCGGCTCGGCTGCTGACATCAACAGTTGCATTGTCAATTTGTAGGCCGGTGTGATTGTAGTCTGGGCGCCGAGCGCCAGATAGGAGGAAGGGCTCTGGATACTTACGTTGGTGAGGGCAAGAGTATGCTCTCATTGACACTCGGATTCAGTGTTCTGGTTCTCCATTGGTGTAATATCGGTGGAATTCTGCTTCCGGGACAGTGTCGGACTACCTGGCTTTCGATTTGAATTTTTGCAATCTGGAATCTGTCATTTCGCTATTGCTCATTTTCCTGTGTTCTGGTTGTCCATTGGTGTAATATCGGTGCAATTGCAATCTGGAATCTGTCATTTCGCTATTGCTCATTTTCCTTGCAGTTGCAATGGAAACAACTTTTGGCTCAGAGTCATCTCCAAGTTGCCAGCAAAACCAAAAAGAATAAATTACGAAATATCAATTAGAGTATCCCCCTTAGACACCTCTAAGAGCTGTCCACGACCTCTGGGAGCCCCTTGCCCCTCAAATGTCTTCGTGGAGTAAGCTCGGATCTGTGCTCCATCTGGCATGCACAAAATCAGGATAATAAAAAATCTGAAACCAAATTTTGGAGCCTCGAGTTGTCTGAAATCCTGCCAACCCACAACACATCGGCGAATGCTCGTTAAACCTGTCTCGGCTCGAGTCTCGGAGCCTCGCAGTGAAACTTCTTGCAGCATGTGTTCTAATTAGCCATGTGGTAGCCTGCCATGGTTGCACCGCACCAGAGGGTGAAAGGGAGGCAAAGAGAGAGAGGGGAGAGGGACGGGGGAGGGAGACAGGGGGTGAATAAGCAGAGGACGGAGGACATAATCCATCTTGGAGGGGGAGAGAGAGAGAGAGAGGGGGTGGGGGAAGGAGCTGTGGCATGGGTGTTACACTATGTGGGCCAGGCACAGTAGTATGTGGGTCGTGCCAACTGCCATGTGGCTTGAGCGCAGTATTATGTGGGCTGGGGGTGGTACTATGTGAGGTGTGCGTGGTGCTACACGGGCCGGTTGTGCACCCGGGTTCCCACAATTCGACCCAGCACTGTGTAGCAGCTGTGGTACAGCATCATTTGTGGAACATACGGCGTGAGCTGTGTGTCAATGGGGTAGGTACAGTACTCTGTGTGTTCAAATCGCATTGTATCTTGAGTGCAGTACTTTTTAGGGCCGGGTGTGGTTCTGTGGACTAGGTGCAGTACCATCATGCTTTCACCGCCTCTCCTTGCCTGTGGAGCCTCTGGGCTGGATGCACTGCCATATGGTCTGTATATGTGGCCCCGTTCGTAATATGTAGGTTGGATGAATTATTAAGGTGGGTGGGTACAAGGATATGCGGGCTGGACATGGTGCCACACGCTATGGGGCCTGGCCCTGGTGTCACGCGATATGCAGGCTGGACGAGGTCCCACGCGCTATACATATGGAAAGTGCTGGATGTTTGAATATATCTCTATATATTGACTACTGAGCTTGCTTTCCCAGGGCACCCGCGAGGGACCCCGGCCAGGGTGGTGTCCCGCCCAGGGTACTCCGGGCATGCAAAAAATCCACCGTTTTCTTTTTCCTTTTTTTTTCGCACACACACACACACACACACACACACACACACACACACACATGCGCATGCATCGGCATCCGGGTGCAGATGAGGAGATAGGGATCAGGACGGTCATGAGGGAGAAGGGAGTGGACAAGCGCCAGACCGCTCCCCTCAACCACCCCCAACGACGCCCGGCAATGGTCGGTCACAGCATATGAGCAATGATCTGGAGCAGTGGTATGTTGCCTCCATGCTTAGTTCTTAGCACTTGTTACACTAATCACTGAGGGATACTGGTAGCACAGTGGGGGGAAGTGGCAGAGTGGCAAAATTGGAAAATGCATAGAATTGCCCCTGCGATTTATTTTGTGGTTGAAATGATTTTCTTTAATTTTTTAAATATTTTTCCTAGAAAGATGACGACGAAATCTACAAACCCTCCAATTTTCAGACTTCTTAGCGTATTCTATTGGACATGAAAAATCACTGAAGTCGGGGTACTTTTCCCGTTGGCCGACACGTGATAGAGCAGCAAAAATGGAATACGGGACAAATTGGCACAGCATTCATTTCATGATCTGAATTTTTTTATTTTTATTTTTAATATTTTCGTGGAAAGACCACGACCAAATCTACAGGCCCCCCAATTTTCAGAGTTGTCGAGTCATCCTTCTGACCGCAAAAAATCGCGGAAGTTGGGGTACTTTTCCCGTTGGCCCACATGTGGTAGAGCGGGAAAAATGGAAAATGTGACGAAACGGTGCGGCATTTATTTTACAGCCTAATTGTCTTTTTCTTTTTCTTTTTCTTTTGATATATTTCCTAGAAAGATCACAATCTAATCTACAGGATCTCAAATTTCAGATTTTTCCGTCAATTCTTCTGAGAGCAAATCGCCAAAGTTGGCGCTTGAAAATCCTTGGACCAGACCCGCCTGCGCCTTCCGGTCGTCGCCCCCCCTAAAAGCCCGGTCCGTAAGGCCAGGAAAGCTGAATTTAGGACGACGGGGGTGGTGGTGGTGGTTTAAAATTTTTAATCCTACTATATAATGAACATGATCAGATCGGTATGTTTATACTCACTCATTTATATACATATGAATAAAAGAAACAGAGTGCCCACCTTTCTTTCTTATCCTGACATTCTGAATTTGCCTGAACTGACCTTCACCTTTTTTCTTAACCCTGCCATCTGAATTTGCACATACAGTGCCTCACCTTCTGATATCCTGTTTTTTTTTTGTTTTTTTTTTTTGCATGTTACTTTTGTGCCACTCCTCATTTGACGCCTCCTGTCGCTGCTTTTTCTTCCTTATTCTCGACACTTGTCCCACTTTCCTGCATCTCCTCCTCCTCGCAATCCACCTCATGCTCCGCACTTCTTGCTCTTCTTGTTCTCGGCTGTCATGGCTCCTCCCGTTTTCCATTTCCTATTGCTACACTTCTTTCTGATCCCTCTCCTTCTTCCCTGACTCCCCTCTTAAATCGCTCTCAGTGTGCTGAATCCTGATCCACCCCTTTCACTTGGTCACTATCCACCATTCGGCCCTCCTCCACTGTTCTCTGCTTCCCGCTGCGGCTTTGCCTTCTCGTCTTACTTCCGCAGTCTTTATCGCAGAGGGTCTACTCTCCTCCTCCTCCCCTGGAAGAAATATACTCGAGGCTCGAGAATAGCGTCATGGCATGCAAACTGGGCACTTGCAACAGATCCTTATGGAGAAAGACCATCCCCGTGGAGTGATCAGCAAGGACGAATTGCTCCATTGCCTTAAAGACGAGGGTCAACCATTTAATGTGACAGAAAGATCATTTTAAGAAACAAGATACCAATCACAACCACGCATGCAGACGATACCCCATGTTAAATGAGTTCTCCATACTTACACAATATAAACAATGCCACCCCATCCGCTCAAACAGTCCCGATCCACAGATGAAAGAAGCGCCTGAGATATGGTCTCAAATAGATCCTCAGGTTCCTGCAAATGACAATCAAAAAAGCCCATTCAGTCACAAACCTTTGGTACACATCTGCATTGCTCTACACCACATTTGGAAATCAGACTGCATCTTCATTCACCACACTCACAAAAGCCACGCAGGCTTGTGATGCTCTGCCTGCAAGAAAAAACAGTGAAAGTAGCTGCAAGGAGAACCTTAATGAGCAGGCTAGATTGGCAGATATAAGCACACCAAAAGAGGAATACGACTCACCAAAGGAATGGCGTAAAAACGAGACTTTCATCATAGCCAAGCCCCAATGGAATGAAAGTCCGCCAAAAGCGATTACAGGTTACAAGCAGGGGTAACACGCAACATGCGGATACTCAACCCCAAGTCCGCACACAGATTACCAAATATTGGGCACATGGTGCTGGCATTTCTGGTAAACTTTGACGGTTGCCTACACTATTATCATCTAATGTATAACTACCGAGCACTGTTCATCAGCTGTTCATGGCATCTTTTCAATGTCCCAAGTCCATGGCTGATGCTGCCAGACATGTTTTATATGCAGCTGTGGCACTTGAGCACGCCAAAGAACATGAAGAAACTTAAAGAGGATGTCTGAGCAGGAAGTAGATCATGGCAGTCTGCAAAGATGCAGTCTTTCCTTGAGGCAGCAGTGAGCGATGTGTGCTCTCTTTCTCTCTGCTTCCCTGCCTTCCACCACTGCATTCTCTCAACAAACCTATTCAGTTAAAAAACGCACGCATCAACTATCTGTTGCAGGGCTTACATCAGATATAAATCTAAAGCCACTCTGTTAGCTGTGCAGAGGGGACACAACCTCTCTCTCTCTCTCTCTCTCTCTCTCTCTCTCTCTCTCTCTCTTTTCAGTTAAAAAACGCACGCATCAACTATATGTTGCAGGGCTTACATCAGATATAAATCTAAAGCCACTCTGTTAGCTGTGCAGAGGGGCCACAACCTCCTCTCTCTCTCTCTCTCTCTCTCTCTCTCTCTCTCTCTCTCTCTCTCTCTCTCTCTCTCTCTGTGTGTGTGTATGTGTGTGTGTATGTGTGTGTGTGAGATTGTGTATCTGCTAAAAACTTCACAAACGTGCAGTGAATGTGACAGGCTGTTTCATCGGACTTCCACCCCACCAAATAGAGAAGCAAACAAAAGTTAAGGAAACAACAAACACAAAAGAGAACCCCGGAACAACCCACACACAATTCAAATGAGAACAGAAAAGCAAGCAAAACAAGACACATCTCCCCACTACAATCAGCCCCAGGTGTGGCAGAGGATGATGTGTCAAGCAACAGGGCCCAGACGATGTCATGCCCGCAGTTGTGTAGCTATACAGTACTGTAGTACAATTTTCGGGAACATTAAAAGCAGCCCGTAAACCAGGGCGGGGATCTTCCCAAATTACTAAAATTTGAGAAATGCAAACTTTTGATCCACAAAATAGTGGCTGAACAATTCCGGGACAAGCTGAACCATATTATAGCCTTTCGAACTAAACGAAACTATTTTCTGACAGAACAAGCTTCATACTATAGCTCAGGAAATCAATGAAGGAAGATAGCAGGTGTATGAGTTTGCCTACGTACACCTCAGGCAGGAACTGCCACGTGCCCTCTGAAATGTCTCTCTCTCTCTCTCTCTCTCTCTCTCTCTCTCTCTCTCTCTCTCTCTCTCTCTCTCTTCCCCCCCCTTTGGTTTTCCCCGGACTACATCCCTTTCTACTTTACCCATGAGCCACAGTAGCCTCCCACTCCAGGCTATCACTCGAAAGGGACAGATCTACCGTCTGCTCTGCTGGCTTATGAGTACTCCGAGCTACAGTTCATCTTCTTCCTGCTATCTGAAAGTAGGAGGCTTGCTGCTGCGAGGTACCGTGCTCTTTCTTGTTCTTCTCTTGCTCCCGCCTTTAGTCAGTGGTGGGTTGGCAGACATTGCTGTTGTTCTCTCCTCCTCCTCCTACCTTCTTCCCTGCTGCTCTGCTGCTGGACCATCCAGCCGCACCATCATGGAGCTATGCTGGGGATTATCCAAGGCTGTGCACTACTGTTCACACAAAGGTCTCCAGGCTTGAGGTCACATCCAAGTGCATTGCTGGTTGGCAGTTGTGAGTACGAACCTGTCTAGCATGGTACGGTACAAAAGACTGAGCGATTCCTGCTGGGGGTTTTGACTTTCTGGACGCTAGAAAAGTATCCACATCTTTCAGATGGGAGTCCAGCTATCGAGGTTGCATGGGAGGCTACATGGACCTACTTGAGTGCTTTTCGTGTGGCCTCCCGGAAGGCTTTCCAATGCCTTCCAAGCTCTCAGGTTGGCCTGCGGACAGATGAACAACAGATAGAGAATAGGTGTGCCCGACCGACCGGATGCACAGACAGACGAACAAACGGCCACTCCCCAACCTGAGAACTTGGCAGGCAGGTTGACAGACAGATGGACAATCGGTAGACAAGAGATAGAGATGGACAGACAACCAATGAACAGACAGACAAACAAACGGAGGGACGGACCAATGAACAGACAGACGAACAAACGGATGAACGTACAGATAAACGGACAGACAAACACGCGACCGACCGACCCACCCACCCACCCACCCACCCACCAACCGACCGACCGACAGACAGACAGACAGCCAACCGACCGACCAACCTAGCGACAGACAGACCAGACCGACTGACCAACAGACCGACAGACAGAAAGAAAGAACGAAAGAAAAGTTTCTGCATGCAGTCATGAGGGGGGGGGGTGCATGAGGGACAGACAGTCAGACAGACAGGCAGGCAGACAGGCAGATCGTGAGAGGACGAGGAATCATTGCAGAGCTCACCGCACTACCTAGTTCAAGATTATGCTGGATGAATCTTTTCAGGTAGTTGAAAACCAGTCGGAGATCTGGGCATGCAGCAGTGCTGCCAAAACCATGGGATAGTGTCCTATACATTCAGCTGAGGGTGCCAGCATGAAGGCATTATGCAATCTGTCCGGATGTGGCCAGTGGAGACAAAAATACTTTGGAGCAGTTGCTCGCTACCCAACGTCTCCCTTACTGTGCCCGTGGCCACAAGAGAGGACTGTGCTCAATGCACTCTTCAGTAAGAACTGGCGCAACGAGCTCTTCAGTTCTACTATGGGACAAACCCCCGGGATCAGGAGCTTCCGCAGAGGGAGTAGAATGCTCAACAGTCAGTTTAATCTTGAGTCCATTATAAGGCCCCGCAACAAAGAATTTGACGAAAAGCCACTCCCTGGGAATACATATAATGGCGCCTTCTACTCCTCGGAAATCTCCAAGTCAAAGGTTAGAACAAAGAGTTCCTCTCAGCAACAACTGATTTTATTCACAGCGTCACACTGTGGCGACTGCATATGCAGAGATGAAAGGAAAACACAAAGCTACCTTCTTCCCCCGAATACAACGTACAGTCATTATAGCTGTATTTAGACTGAGAGATACCCCAAATACAGCAATAATGACCGTACGTTGTATTCGGGGGAAGAAGGTAGCAACCACACTCGAACCTCACATTTGATACTGCAGCCAGAATTAAGATCCACACATCCCAAGGGGAAAAGAAAAAAAGAAAAAAACAGCAAAAACAAAACCAAAAGATCTTTTATCATGGATGTGGCGATGGCTGGAAGGGGAGGCAAGGGGAGCCGGGGGGGTAGGGGGAAGAGGGAAGGGGGAAGGGAAGGATTCCTGAGGCCACAGTATCTTACCATGTCAGGCCGAAACATCGATTCACATGCACCGTAGAGTGACTCCGAGGATGTGCCAGAGACCACAAAGTCGCTGGAGAATTGCCTGCTCGTTCCAGAGAGTCCAACAGAGAAGACTAGTCAGAACGCATCACATCTCCAATTGCACAAGGAACTTGCCTACACACATTGCCAAAAGCCTGGCCAGACTGATGGACTCCAGCATTAAAATTCGACAGCAGTTGAGCTGCTTCCACGAGCGGCAGAGGCCAGACCATTCCGTGCAACCAACGAACAGGAGCCTCAGCACTCGCTCAGCACAGTCGAGATCTCTCGCTTCATCTCCTCCACAGCAGTCTCGTCATCAGGGCTATGTAATAAGACACCATAAAGCACCCCTAACTACGGCCTCTGAATGCTATTTCACACCGGCCAGGAGCAGGCACAAAATTGTAGGCGCGAGGCCTGTCAATATTCCCACTTGCATCCATGTGCTGCTGCCCATAGGACCAGTCCCTCAGAAGCGAACGTTTCTATGACAAGAGTGATAGGGCTACTGAAGCAACCCCGTGCGTTGAACTCAACGTCCTGGAAAGAGTCTCCAGGCAAGGGTAAGGTACAAAGGCAAACGCCAAGTGCGTACCACCCTCATAACGCCAGGCCATCACCACAGCCGACCATCCGCTGCTTCCAAATCCAGCCTGTTCACGTGGGCGTCCACGCAATACATGCAAGGCCAGATTGGAACCGAATTATTTTCAGCTTTAAGTTCCACGCGCCCCTTTTCAGATCCGGTAGTTAAAGCAGAAAATAATTCAGCCTGGACCACTGCACATCCCGGTGTAGATCACGAATACTCCTGGTAGTTCCTGCCCAACATGTACGTAGGCACGGATTTGAGGGGGCCAGGGGGAGAACGAGAGAGAGAGAGAGAAAGAGAGAGAGAGAGAGGCAACTAAGAGGGCACCTGGCAGGTCCTGCCCAGGGTGTACGTAGGCACCTCCTCGCTTGACACAGGGCTGGGAGAGAAGAGGAGGGGGGAGACCTGGGAGGGTGCGGTGAGGGGGGGGGATACATTGCACTAGAACATGTACGGTAGTAAGAAAAGGGAGAAGCTGGCGATCAGATGGAGGATTTCCTCACCCTGGGACCAATAACAATAACATTAGACGCTTAAGGAGACCAGCACTCGCCCACCTTTTCCCTTGTCCACGCTGGGTTTTCCAGCGGATTGTGAGGTTTTCTTACCTCAAAATGTTTTCCATTCAGAAGCAACACACCTGTTACCTTTTCAAATGTGGTGGGCGGAGGGTGTTTTGCAGGGCAACGGGGAGGAGGAAATGGGGGGAGGGAGAAGGAGGGGAGCAGGGGGAGCAGGGAAAAGAAAGGGAGAAGCAACCAGGAAGAAAACACGACCGCACTTCCGAGCGCACCAAAACCGAATCCTTCTAGAAGCAGGACAGGCGGAGGGACGGAGGGACGGAGGAACGGAGGAATGGAGGCATGGAGGGACGGAATATGAGACTCTTACTTTGCACCAAGAAGATCTGTGGTACAGATAAATGGTTTACCGTCGTCGTCAAGGCCAGCAATGACAGGTTCACAGAAGTATGGCCCAAACCTGCCATCCCATACATCAAAGAATACAATTGCCGGCCGCGAACACAAACAGCATGCAAAGACGGCAAAAGGGGGGAGGAAGTCAGTTCCCACACATTTTTCTTTGCAGCTGCACCACAAGCAATGAACCTTCACTGCAGCTGCCGAGAGCAAAACCAGATTAGTAATAAACCCTAAGAGTGCTTGGAAAAAGACGTCCTCCAAATAAATAAACCCTAGTCATACCTGTGATACGAATTCCGTCACCTGTTCTAGAAAAAAAACATCAAATCCAAAATCCTTAATCGCACAACCAAGCCTCAGATAACGAAGCACAGCAAGAACACACAAATCGAATCATTAATGTCACAAGCTTCAGATTACGCAGCAGAGCAAGAACACGACAGAGGTTATCAGAGCTTACAAACGAGATCACGTTCGACGCAACCTGCCCTTGCAGTCAAAGATCCTATCCCACCCCCCCCCCCCCCCCCAAAAAAAAATGCTCAGATCGGCAGCACCTCTACTGCCCAGCTCTACCCACCATATTATCAACGCATCGCCTCCGAATAACCACCCACCCATCCACACACACACACACACACACAGTTACTGCCATTCTCTTTAGGGGTTTGGACCAACAGTCTGCTAGGATTGCAGGGTCGGTGTGAGCAAACTCTGGCCGACGTGGTGAGTCCTTATGCATCAGTCAAATGCATCCCGGGCACGACCTCCTCGGTGAAAGTCCGACGAAAGAGTTTGGTCCGGTCATGTTTTTCTTCTTTTTTTTTCCTTTTTGTTTCCCTTTTTCTCTCTTTTTGGACCATTTCTCCATATATGCGTGTCATCCTCGCGCAGGGGCCATGCTAATCTTCTCTGTATCGTGACAATTTAAACGGATTGCCCCGGAAAACAGTCGTGCATTTCTTTTGGTGTCGTGTATGGGGAAAATGACGACACGCGCGCACAGACAGACACACACACACACACACACACACACACACACACACACACACACACACACACTTCTTTTGTGGAGTNGACAACACACACACACACACACACACACACACACACACACACACACACGCACACACACGCACACACACGCACACACACACACACACACGAACGCACGCAAACACAGAGCAGGACATAGATTCACCATGTGCACAGGCAATACAAGAGCGCTGCGCAGTGCACGTACATGCTGGCAAATACGACCCTAGCTCCGATCGTACTTGAATCGGCGCTATCATTTTTTTAAAAAAAACGAGAAGCACAAGACTAGTGACAACGTGCTCACCTCTTCTCATAGAGTATTCCCGACACCAAGCTTGCAAAGGTCTTTGGCTTCATGTCTCTCTCCTCCCTCAGTCTATAGAGCTTGTGACGAAACTGCAAGCGCTGGTATCTGCCACAATACCACAGAAACACTGAGCCCACCGTACTTTGCTGTTCGTACCCGGTGGTGAAGGATGCTCCGTCCCAGATTACAGAGACCATCTCCCTCTCAACATTCCAATAAAAGAAAACAGACCAAACACCGAAAAAAGAAAAAAACGCATACACGGATGCACACCCAGAATGCCAAAATGTATTTTGTCCCTTTTTCTCCCACAACCCCCTGATCGTTATGCTCGTGTAATTTCGTGAAACCAAACGCTTACGACGGTGATGATGATAAAGAGCTTTTGGGTTCCAGATGATCACGGAGGCAGTGCTATGCGCAATCACCAGACCCAGAAAAAAAGAAGGAAAAAAAAAAAAGTACGGAAACCTAGGCTACCAGAGTGGCCCGGGACCACTTGCCCGGCAGGGCCAAAAAAAAAAAAAAAAAAAAAAAAAGTATTTCTTTAACTTGATTTTTTATTTGCAATTTGGTGAAGAATTTTGACGTGATCCTGAGGCAAAAGTTGTTCAGTTTATTTTTCTGCATAAGATAGTTTTTTTTCAGATTTTTTGGAGTTTTTTTTTTTTTTTTTTGGCTGGGACCCTCTTTGGCCCTTGCATGGCCGGGCCGCCCGGGCAAACAAGGCGCCCTTACCTGGGCGGCCATGCTGGTAAACCTAGACAGAAACCGAAAACAAAAACAAACAAACAAAAATCTTCAAATGCTGAAACTGCATGAACAGCCCCCTTTTCCTCAATGGCAGTGTATTATCTGTTCCATCCGGGCTGGGCAAGATCATCGCATGAACAGCGGACTGACGCCTACCGTCTTCACCCCAATACCGCGCACGGTCATTACACAGCTGTATTGGGTAGGCCTACTATCAATCTAGATACAGCGACAATGACCGTGCGTTCTATTCCGGTGAAGACGGCGGCCCAGGAAGTAAGGGCCAGAGCGAAGGCACACGTCTTCCTCTCAATTAGGTTTCCCCCAACACTACGCAACCCGATCATGAACGTATCTAGACGATCGTTTCCGGTTCGATACAATCATAAGAAGGCTGCATTGTGTTCGGCGGAAGACAACCGCTGGAGGCAAAGACCGATCATTTCCCGCGTATGTACACTATTATTACCTTCTTTTCCGCCTCGCTCCCGCACTCCCGCTTCGTTCCAAATTCATCGAGTATGCACTTCCCCACCGAATACAACGGACGGACGGTCATTATCGCTATATTTTGACTGAAAGATACCCCACATAGAGCGCTATAACTACCGCACGTTGTATTCGGGCGAAGCTATAAGTACCGCACGTTTTATTCGGGCGAAGAAGGTAATTAAGGTCTTACTTGGGACCTAAACACTAGAGCACCATGTTCCCACACGGGATGTAAACAATTATTAGTCATTTGATTACCTTCTCTGTCCTAAGAAATCAATCGGTGGACAAAACAACACAACCGGCTTCACCGGCAAAGAACGCGTTGTCATCGTCCCCGTATTTAGACTGAAAGATACCCCACATACCGATATAATGACCGTGCCTTCTATTCGCGTGAGAAGACACTACCCATAACCATTTTTCACAGACAATACTCATGCAGACATGCAGACATGCCCTCACCCCTGATCTTCCTCACCATTTGCTACCAATAGCTTATGAACCAAGTATGTGGCTGGAGTCCTACTTGTGTGCGGATTTTCCACCGGCCTTAATCTTCTTTCTTGCAGAGAGAGAAGCTTCCAGGACAGGCTTTTCAAGTAGGACAGCTCTGGACCAGCGCAAGGCCAAACTAATCGAAGTATAGGCCGGCTAGAACGAGAAGAAGAAGAATAAGACGGATATATCAAAAGAGGGAAGGTAAACTCTGCCAAAAGGAAGAGCATGCGCCTGCTAGTAGTACACAGGCCCGAAGCTAGCCCCATCATCTGCAAGAGCAGAGAGCTAGCAACGTCGAAGAACATATCGTCACACTGTGAATCGGAGCGCAAAGGCGGAAAAAGACAAAACAACAGAAGGAAAAGAAGGGAAGCCACACCTGTTCATCACCTCTTACGTACAAGGCCGGCCACGTGGATGATGGTTGAGCACCGGGCTGCCCCCATCCCAGTGTGTCACGAGGACCCACTTGCACGCAGCCAAAAGGCAAAGAGGTGAAGAAAAGGAGGAATATATTGATACATACATATATATGTCGTCAAGCAGAAAAAAAATTATATATATATCGTCACAAACAGAACTGCCCGGTAAACAGTAGGCAGAGAGAGAGAAGAATATATATATACCCTCTATATATATCGTATTTATATATACATACGATATATTGTCACACTGTGAATCGGAGCGCAAAGGCGGAAAAAGACGCAACAAGGAAAGGAAAAGAAGCAAGGAAAGCCCCACCTGTTCATAGGTCCCTGTGACACACGGCGATGGGGCCAGCCAGCGTTCAGCCTGTCATCCACGTGGCTCATCTTGTACGTAAGAGGTGATGAACAGGTGGGGCTTCCCTTCCTTACTTCTTTTCCTTTTCTTGTTTTGTCTTTTTCCACCTTTGCGCTCCGATTCACAGTCTGACAATATATATATCGTCACATGAATATCAGAGCGCAAAGCCGAAAAAAACAGAAGAAAACACGAAAAATAATAATAATAATAACAATAACAACAATAGTAATATCATTACCAGTCACCGCTTTTCGCCAATCCGGACATTCTTTTTGCCATCAATTTTGCCGTTAATCGGGGGGTCGGGCCTGAATCGGGCCTGAATCGGGCCTGAATCGGGCCTGAAATCGGGACTGAATCGGGACTGAATCGAGACCAAAATTGATGGGCCAAAGGGACAATCGTCTTCAACAAGACCGCGAGTCTTTCTTCACGGGATCTGGAAGGAGCAGTTGGCGAGTTGATGAGCACAAAATAAAAGGGAGAAGGGAGGGGTTGGCGAGTTGATGAGCACAAAATAAAAGGGAGAAGGGAGGGGKTGGCGAGTTGATGAGCACAAAATAAAAGGGAGAAAGGAGGGAGGGGTTGGCGAGTTGATGAGCACAAAATAAAAGGGAGAAGGGAGGGGGACATTGCCCAGATTTGTATTCCCCTTTATGCAATCAATTTCTAGTTTGCATTCATGAAGAGGTTCTCGTTTACTCACAGGGTCTGCACGTCCGTTCCCAGCCCCGACAAGCCGATGTAGAGTCTGTCGTGAATCTTGAAGATACGCTGAAAATCAGTGGCGATCGTTTGAAGCTGCACACCGAAACGCCGATCGCTAGCGATCGCGAAGCAGTTCTTTCCCACCATAGCCACAATGGCACCGCCATTGTAAGATAGAATCTGCAGCACGGCAAACACCATGAAAACCGCGAAAAAAAAGATGTACTTAAGATAGATGTGCAGACCAAACACGGACAAGGGCGGGAAGGAAACGGGAAAGGGGGCAAGGCACTCGGTCGATCTAGTTCCATTTCATGAGGTTGATAGAATAGACAAAGCAACGGGTGGCGGGACGTAAAGCGCAATCAAGCAACGTGGAATTGACATCAGACCACATGTGAGGAACGGGAAGGAAGTTTCTCTCTCTCTCTCTCTCTCTCTCTCTCTCTCTCTCTCTCTCTCTCTCTCTCTCTCTCTCTCTCTCTCTCTCCCCGATTTAGTGTGACAATATATACTGTCACATGATATAAGAGCGCCAAAGCGACATATATATATCGTCCCATGACTATATATTATATATATATATCGTCACAGTTTGTCACGGCCCCTCGTTTGTTGTCCTCTTCTCTCTCTCTGCCTACGGTTTTACCGGGCAGTTCTGTTTGTGACGATATATATCGTCACAAACAGAACTGCCCGGTAAAACCGTAGGCAGAGAGAGAGAAGAGGACAACAAACGAGGGGATATATCGTCACAAACAGAACTGCCCGGTAAAACCGTAGGCAGAGAGAGAGAAGAGGACAACAAACGAGGGGCCGTGACAAACTGTTTCGTCGGAGTTTATATGTGCTTGTATGTGGGACTTGTCATCTAGGATTTGTTTCCCCCTGTTTTGTTGTGTAAAGGCTGTTTCCTTCCTCTTTTCTTTGCCTCTTTGCCCTTTGGCTGTGTGCAAGTGGGTCGATATGACACACGGAGGTGGGGGCAGCCGCCGTTCAACCTACATCCACGTGGGCGGCCTTGTACGCAAGAGGTTTTGAACAGGGGGAGTTGTAAGTAAGAAGATAAAAAATTAATTGATTTTTTCTAGTGTTTTTTCGCTTTTGCGCTCTGACAGCTTTGTGACAATATCCTGTCTCGCGCGTGCACAGACGCGCGTGAACTAACATGAAGTTGACCTCAAATAATGTCTGAAATAGTAAGACACGATCTCTCTCTCTCTCTCTCTCTCTCTCTCTCTCTCTCTCTCTCTCTCTCTCTCTCTCTCTCTCTCTCTCTCGTAGCTCCGCCTGCCTGTTATAGAGCCTCCCTCTCGCTTTCTCCCCTCTCCCCCCCGAAGTTGTCTGCCAAACTCTCCGCCTCTCGGATTCTCTCTCGCTCTCTCTCGAACGTCGCCGGCCTCCTGAGTTCCTGATCCGTCCATCCAAATCAGTGGAAACTGGAGCGCCCAAATAAACCGACCCTGATGATCATCTTCACTACCGCCTTCGTCGCCATCAACATCATCCTCCAGATTGCCTTCAACAACATCATCACCCTCCGCCTAATTGCCTTCATCTCCTTCATCATCATGATTACCCATGAGCCATCGACCGATTATGGTGTTCTTTCTCCGACATTATCGACGGGCTAACACTCGACAACCTCGCCATCACCAAACGTAGAAGCAATCACATCAACAGCAGTGAATAGCCCCCCATCATGATCGGTGGATAGCGATGAGCGATATGCTTGGGCTTTCGTGCTGTGAGAGAGAGAGAGAGAGAGCGCTTCTCATCGTCATATTCGACAACACCAACTACTTGTAGTTCGGGACACGGGTCACCCTCCATAGCCACTAACCTCAGTTCATCATCCTCGACCTTGTTGGGATCGGGACGGGCACCGCGGGAAGCAAACACTTACCGACATCTTGTACGCAGCTCGCCAAACGCCTCAGATCTCGTCGGGCCCCTGCTGGCAGCGCTCACCGTCCTCGATAGCTCACCGTTGACCAACAAAAGCCTTAGGTATCAATGAAGCACTGAAAGGCCCGCCTACCTGTTCCACACCAACACAGGCTATGGCGCCGTTACGCATAACCCTTCACCTCCACAGGCAGATGTTGCACATGAGCGGGGCTCCTTGACAAGGACAAGGGGCCTTCGCCACGTCCCTCCGTAACACGCTCCCTACCTAACCAAGTTTACGGTGAGGGAACCGGGGGGCGGTTTTTTACAAGAAACGATGTGTTCTATTTCACACAACGGGGGGTACCTGGGTGCTTGGTTGGTCTCCATGGAGGAGGACAGCAGAATGGGGGATTGTGGGGTCTGGAAGGAGTGCCACTGCGTTAGAGGTAGCCTAGGGGAGTACGGCTCCGGGGCAGATTTCCTGAGCTCTGAGGACAAAGGCGGGGGGGGATCCCTTAGGAGCTTGGTTGGGACCCCGCACACGGTCCACTAGCCGCAGGGTTTAGTTGCACAAAGTCCGTCTCGCTAGTTGAAGGTTTAGTTGCACGGAGTCCATTCCGACCGGTGTGACCCAGGGTGGCCACAGATGGCCACATAATCTGGTGGTGGAAATTTCTTTTCTGTTTTTTTGTTCCTTGTGAAGTCCACCCATTGGGTGACGGGAAAAGAAAACAAGGTGGGCATCTAGTGCAGGGTTGCAGATTCTAAATGACGAGGGGGAAAAATAAAAATAAAAAAAAAATGATGAGGGATATCGTTAGAATCTCATCATTTTATTTATTTATTTATTATTTCTAAATATTTTTTTGTATTAAAAAATGGCATAGCAGAGTCAATAAATCGGAGGTTGTTGTTTTGTATTTTGTCTGCGACTTTTTGAACGACTTGAAGTGGCATCACATTTCATAAGGCCTCGCTTGACTACTCTTCAAATGTGCCAAATGATATTGAATCCTTCGATAAAACACGAAAAGGTGCATTGCCATGGCCTCGTTCCACTACTCTTCAAATGTGCGAAATGATATTGAATCCTCCGCTAAAACACGAAAAGGTGCATTGCCAAACTTTTGTCTTTTGTATTTGAGTTGAAAAGTAGTGAAGCAACATAAAACGTCATATGTTGAGGTCACCTATAGTGGTGCCTGGACCCTTGGGTCCACTACTTATTTTCTACTGGGAATTTTTGGAACCGAGCACCCAGGTCCGTCCACCATTATATTAAAAAAAACAACCAAACATATAGTTTTAATCTCCTTTCTGTAAAAGTTGCTAAGGTGTCTCCAAAACACTAAGCTTCTCTAAACCACTTCAAACCCACTTATATGTTGCTACAGTGTAAAACATTTATCCTCTAGTCGGTTTGGATCATGCAACGAAGTTTAATAATAAAAGTTGCTATAATACGCTTATTCAACCAATCATAATTTTGAAAACACAATTGTTTATTATTTGCCATATGATTAATAACCCCATTCCTTTTCATGTCTGAGTCAAATAACTCCACCTTTTGGTCAACGATAAATCATCAAGATACCTCATAATAGGGTCCAGACTTTGTCTCGTGAGGATGAAGTACCATATATGTGATCTCAGTATTTCAGTGTTCATCTTCGAAAAAATATTACAGTCAGACAATACCACCACAAATATAGTATGGATTAAAATACTCACTCCCTTACATGCGAAGTTTATTTTCATTCATGCTCTATGAACCATATTGCAAATGGTGTAGGAAGCAATAGAATAAGTCATAGGATTGAAATTCTCCTTTGTTACATCAGTCGTTTCATTTACTTAAAATATCTTATTATTTTTTTCTTAATAATTAAAGGGTTTTAATTTTACACGAAGTCGTTTTTTTTATATTTGACATTTCATTTATCTCCAACACCTTACTATGTTTTTCTCAATAACTGAATAGTTTAAATTTAGCACGAAGGCACATCGTTGTTTATATAAACAACGATGAAAAACTTATAAAAAACAATAAATCTTATAGCCAATCTGTTGAGTGCAAATCAGCAGAGGTAAGTTAATAAAATTATTACCTTTTACACATCATTTTTAATTATATAAAGGTGAATCAATATGTGAATCGACATGTGATCGTTGGTTAAATTGAGTTTCACGAAAACCTTTGTCTGTTTTACAATCTCAACAATAAAATATATGTTTGTCTTTTGTTTTGACTAAAACAAATTTTAAACTTTTCAGACTTCTCCTGCCTTATTTATATACCGAGTGTCTAAAGGGTCAACCACTTTCATAAATATTAATTTGTTTCATCCTTTCAAAATTGTTGCAATTAAACTTTTATTGCTTGTACTCAGTAACCATACAGGATCCTCTTCAGTTTTGCCTCAAATCTTTATGTCCCTAATGCCTCATTTCATAAATACTTTATAAATAGAACATCTATTTTCATTCATTATCACAAAAAATTGGAGAGAGAAAAATTCACTATGAATCAATCACTCTTCGTTGATTCAATTTATAAATTTACAAATGAAGGTTAATTTAAGATTTTCGCTTTAAACAATGATATTACACAAAAAATTGGGAGTAAGTTTCTTTTATATTAATATGATCATCTTTCAAAATAAGGACTTTAAATGTATGGGTTCGTAGAAATACAGTGTTCAGATGTCGGACAACCTTGAGAACTTTCATCCTCATCCGTAATATGTTTTTCGAATATAATTTAGTATAACAATTTAAGGTAAAAATTAGTTTTTTATTAATTTATCAATATAGTGTCATTGTTTTTTATAACATCGGTCATATAAAACCTTCGTTCATCTCGTGAGAAATATAACATTTTTTTGATAACCTTCAAAATATTTTTGTTTTCGCTTATTATATAAATATTTTTCATAAAAATATAATATATATTAATTTGATAATAAAATAATAGCGACTATTAAGTTATAAAACTAAATTGATAAATTAGCGAAGTTTAAGTAAAGTTTACACCTATAATTTTCAAATAGTGGTAGGCGACAGACTATATCTGATGACACTCTTTTGTAAACTTATTTGAAGAAGAATACATTTTTGCACATTCGTACAATTTTACAGAGCAATCTCCACTTTTATAAAATGCTTCAGTTTACCATCTTGCACCCGTTGTATACCTTATTCCACCAAGTAAAATCACTTATCATAAAAATATATTTTAACCATTTAAAAACAAAAAATATTATATATATATAATTTATTTACAATAATAGTAAACAGCATTGTCTCAATGAAAGCCTTAAAAAAACGTTCTTATGAACATTGGAGCAAAGAGCAAAGAACAAAGATGACAGTGAGCATCGTTTTCTTAACATTTGAGTGAATGAAAATTAATTCAAGACTTCTTATGAATAATCATAGACGTAATAGAGTGAGTATAAATATTTTGCCCTGCCTATATAAGATTTTTATAAATGTTTTCCACTTCAGTATTCACAATATATACAACTATGTATATATGATCAAGCGACTCGGTTATAAGTTTTTTCTAAATTCAACAAATACATTAAAATGTTAAGTTGTTCATTCCAAATAACTTTTACTGTTTCAATCACTACAATTACGTTGTCAAAGTTAGGGCCTCCTCTAACAAAGGTCGAATGGTTTGAGATAATAAGTTTCAATAAATATTTGTCATTTTTATGGGGAGTAATTTTTACAAATAACTTATTAAACCATCAGTACATTTTTCGTATGGGAAAATAGGGAAAACTAACAGTTTTCACAGACGCCTGAATTTTTGGAGATCGGGCCCGATGATGACTGCCATTGATAAATCTGATCGGCGATCGTCGTTTCGTTTCGGCCGCTGCAAAGGTCGGATGCCTACCCGAGGCCCGCTATTTTCCAAGCGGGTACTGGTGGTTTAAGATATTGATAATATAAATGGATATTCAGTTTCTGATCTGTCCACTTATGATTTTCATTAAAAAATAAAAAATATATATCTTTATATATATTAGTAAATAATTGAAACCTCAATAGAATGTTTTCATAAATTTGTATTGGTTGATCTTTAATCTCATTATAAATCAAAAAATACAATTCGACCGACAATCCATTGTCGTTGAGAGTTTTATCACCAACTTCAAAATTTTGTAAACATTAATAGTTATCACAGATCAATATGAGGTTTGTTTATCTTTAGTTAAAAGTTTCACTGTTGTAATGATCCAATGACTGTTTTTTAAAAATAGTTAATTTTTAACGTTTGCACCTTATATTTTAAAAATTAAAATATCGCTAAAACATAAAATGAAGTATTTTAATAGATCGATGAGTTTTTATTTTTTTATCATAGTAAAATGGTTATTATTGAGGTCCCTTCATGAAGACTCGCGCAAAAATAATAAAAGTTTTACAAAATATTATTTCGTCATGAATGATTTTTTACTTGAAGTCATTGATACCAAATTTGTGATTTATATTTTTGTATTATAAACTTTCGACAAACAATTTGATTATCTTCTTCCCAGATACCAAGTTTAAATCAATTTTTTTTTTATACGTTATTTCGTATTTAATTTACATTTATACAATTATTTCTCCTATTTTTTTAATTTATGAGTAATATTAATAAGAACAATGAAAAAAAATTGAAAACCCGATCATCACTTATTGTTAATCAATCCACGTTGATAATTAAGTATAAAACAAAGTCGATACTTACCTATAGTTATGACTTTGAGGGTTGCAGTAGGAAAACACTCAAGTAGCGGGAATAGGCCTGTGATCAGGATTGTTTGCGTTCGGGAGAGGCCGAATGCCCGAACGTTCGGCACCCCCTCTTGACGCGTTCGACCGTTCGGCCGAACGAGGACCCAAATAAAAAATAAACTTCCAAAAAATCTATAAAAAAAATAATGTTATGCAAAAGAATATACTGAACAACATTTGCCTCAACGTTACATGGAAATTTTTGACCAAATTCAAACTCAAAATCAAATTATAAAAATAAATAATAATAATAAAAATTACAAAAAATAAAATGAGAATAAAATTATGAAGTGGGCGAGCACGTTTTTGACACCGCCATTTTTGGCGATTTTTTTTTTTTTTTACTATGACAAATGCCATGAAAATTTATATATGTGTATCTTACGTAATATAGAATTTACAAATAAAGTTAAAAAAAATAATT